CGCGCCGCGCGCCGGGGCCAGCCCGGGTTGTCGGCGGGCGCATACAAATGCCCCGGTGGGCGCCATGGCACCCGCAGGCACCGCGTTGGGGACCACTGTTATAGAAGTTGTGAATATTATGCAGATAGAGTAATTGAGTAGAGTAAGAATGCTTGAAATTTCTACTGATATGTACAGCATGTTTAAACTGTACTCTGTTTAAACTGTAAATACTCTTGCTAGTATTTGCTATTTCGGGCGCATACAAATGCCCCGGTGGGCGCCATGGCACCCGCAGGCACCGCGTTGGGGACCACTGTTATAGAAGTTGTGAATATTATGCAGATAGAGTAATTGAGTAGAGTAAGAATGCTTGAAATTTCTACTGATATGTACAGCATGTTTAAACTGTACTCTGTTTAAACTGTAAATACTCTTGCTAGTATTTGCTATTTCCCCCCAAAAATTAGGATTTATTAATTATTCTTGCTATCATAGCACCTATCAGTGACCGTCATAGAGCAAGAACTCATTGCTAGCTGCTGCACAAGTACAGAACAAACATAGTCTCTATTCCAAAGAGTTCACAATCCAAGGCTATGTCTACACTGGCGAGATCTTGCACCAGAGCTATGCAAATGAGGCTAAGCGTGGAATATCGCTGAGCCACATTTGCATATCTAATGAGACGCCATTTTGTGGAAGAGGCTCTTGCGCAAGAAGGAGCTGTCTACACTGCCCCTTCTTGCACAAGAAAAACGCTCTTGCGCAATGCTGTTACGCTGATTATTTTCAGGAATAACGGCATTGCACAAGAGCCTCTTCCGCAAAAATGGCGGCTCATTAGATATGCAAATAAGGCTCAGCGATATTCCACGCTTAGCCTCATTTGCATAGCTCTGGCACAAGATCGCGCCACTGTAGACATAGCTCAAGTGTAAGACATGAGACAACAATTGGAGACAGACTGACAAGGAAATACAAGAAAATAATATTGGTCAACATCATAGCCTGTGATTTCAGCATGTTAGCAGCCTAACTTGTCAAGTATTTTTGTAGTCATCACAACAAAGGAGAGTTTTGAAAGAAGATAATGAGTTTGCTTTGCTAATGTTTATGAGGAGCTTCTCCCAGGCCTGAAAGATGACGTGGGGGATACTATGAAGACTGTTAGAAATTGTACCTAGTGGGCTATGGAAGCTGGCATGATGGCCGATCTGAAGGTGGGAATTGACCTTTTGATACTAATGAGAGATGAAAGAAAAGACTGAGGAGGATCCAGAATACTTTAAGTACATAGGAAAAACATTCACAATTTAAACAAATTATCTTAAAATACCATTCATTATTCACACTTGTATCTGATCTTTTAAAAAGTGACATTGATAACTATTCATTTATATTGGAATATAAAAATAAAAAAGGAGGGTGTCCCTGCTACCTCTGGGTATGTCTACACTACAAAGTTAATTCGAACTAACGGATGTTAGTTCGAATTAACTTTGATAGGCGCTACACTAGCGCTCCGCTAGTTCGAACTCAATTCGAACTAGCAGAGCGCTTAGTTCGAACTAGGTAAACCTCATTCTACGAGGACTAAGCCTAGTTCGAACTTACTAGTTCGAATTAAGGGGTGTGTAGCCCCTTAATTCAAACTAGTGGGAGGCTAGCCCTCCCCAGCTTTCCCTGGTGGCCACTCTGGCCAACACCAGGGAAACTCTATTGCCCCCCTCCTGGCCCCGGGCCCCTTAAAGGGGCACAGGCTGGCTACGATGCCCGTGCCAGGTGCAAGCCTGCCAGCACCCAGCTAGCAGACCCTGCACCTGGCACGGCTCGAG